TTAAAAGAGGGAGACCAAGTTAATGTGCTCGTCAGCTTATCAGATGGTATCCTTCAATTATTTTCACTTTATTTATATGACTACTTTTTTAAATATTTTTAATCACCATTCACCAAAGCTGGTTTCTAGTTATCTTTGTCGGAAATGATCATAAATGCTGAAGTTAAAATATAGTCGATTTTTCCTTGTGCAGTCATTTGTTGTCACAGCACTCTAGACATTGCCTTATGTATTTATTGTCAGACTATGCGAATTAAATACCATACTATGCATGAACTTGAGGTTAGATTCATGTCCCAGCAATTTACAAATAAATAAATAAATTGACATGATTTATCATCCTGTAGTTTGTCTTGTTATTTCACCTTCAAAAGATAGCTTCTGTTAGCAGTTTATAAGACGTCAGTAGAAAGTTAAATCTCTAAATTCATCAACACCATGCACCCATTGATTGATAACTCCGAAGCTTTTTGCTACTTTCACAGAGAAAGCCTCGTATTCTCGGTTACTTAGAGATATTGGTCAAGGTCTTATTGTAATGGATGAAAATACATGTGGGGATAACCAGTTGTGTCTTAATATAAAATTACAAAGTTATTTGGTCAAATGTGAGAACCATACAATCAGCACTTTATTTGCAAATACTCCATCAATTGTTTCAAACTTCGTCGTTCCTTCAATGACATAACAATTTCTCTGTTCCCGTCCTCTTCCATTCGATCTTCCAAACATTCTGCTGCCAGGCATTCCACTTCTGATTGCTGTTATATACTACTTATGTCGACAGATGTATCATACATCGAAGCTGAATGTTTCAGAAAACATTTTACTGTTTCTTAATTGATTAGCCACTGAGATTCAGCTGATCAGCCTCAGTCTACGAACACTCAGCATTGATTCAAACCACTGAATCAAAAATATAATGGTCCACATTTCCGAGCATACAACTTGGGTTATTGGTGATATTTATCTCACAAGCGATTTGATTCTCTATCAATGATTTTGAAATAATAACTCCGTAAATCAGCATAAACAACTGCTTCCCATGAGAAAAATATATTAATTAGTATAAACTGCATCGCAATTGATTGATAAATTTAAAGTGGTGGAACAAAAAATGTTTGTGAAATTGAATCCACACGTTAAGTATTTGAAGGTAGTCGATAGTAAATCCTTGATCCAGCTTTCGTGCTACATGCTGTCCATCAGAAAAGCGCACCTATAGTCTTGAGGGGGCCAGTGTTCCCTACGGATCCTTATCCCGTACCATCAAACCTGACAGTCAGAGATAATATCAGTGAGCTATTCGAAGAGCGTCTGGCCTTTTATAGGACTGAGTTGTTTACAGTTGATTGATCTCTATGTAGAAATCAATATCACGTATGTCCAGTCCTTAAAGTACTGATGGAAATCTATCGATAAACATATTTGCGACAATGTAAGTTGACTTATTCACTTATCAGTGTAATTCATGCTAAACTTGATCTTTACACTTGCATTTAGGTTTACAAGGATTCCTGAACATAACCTTGATATAAAACGCTATGGGATAATTATAATAGACAACTTTTAAGGTTAATACATTTATTCCAAAAAGTATTAACTAACTATCTGAATTTGTTCGAAAGTCATTAAGTGCATTCATGTTTCAAATTTTTCACTGGTTTTTAAAAACCTTTTTTTATAACACACGTACTTCTAAGGATCACCAAAACTTACACGATTTTATTCACAGAAATATGGTCCTGATACCCACTGCTTGATATTATACCAGGAAATTCAGCACCTCCTATAAAAACGGTAACCGAAATTAATCTTATAAATGGGTAAACTCATTACTGAATTAGAGGGGAAAATATTTTATTGTAATTATTTATATAATAATATAGGACACTAGTAAGAGTTTGTATTATCTTGTTGCTGGTGGTTAACTGGACTCAGTGATTTAGTGCAGAACGCATATGACTTGGAATTGATTTACACCGAGTTCTAGTCTCGGTTTAAATAGCCCTGTTATGTCCAGCTAAAAAAATTACAGATAGGAAGGGACATGCATTCAATATTCCACTGCTAGCCACAATCCCAAAAATATTAATGGTGTAAGAGATCGATACACATTAAGCATTAAAGTTGCTGCAAGGATCATTAAATCTTAGTCAATAATTTTCTCTAAAAGAATATGTGTTAAATATCATAACTTTATGCAAAAAGTAGTATCAAAAAGAAATCGCCTTTCAAAATAGTTCAAAATGTTTTTATTTTACAGGAATAGTGATGCTTAAAAGTACATGTTAAATACATTTGACTGGATTCTCTAAATTTATTTATCTGTGTCTTCAGAAGAGAACAAGAATAACATAAAACTAATCATTACACCGTTTTTTAAATCCCTTATAGGCTGGCTCAAAGGAGCATTACCTGACGGTAGACGTGGATGGTTTCCAAGTCATATTTGTACTGAAGTCAAAGACTCATCAATGAAACGTGAAAATATGAAAAATTTTATGCTTATGGAAGAAGCTAAAGCAGCCTACAGCGTGAGAAAAAGCCGTGAAACATTTGATGGTTTTCCTAAAATGAAAGATATTCAAAATAGTAATCGAGACTTAGGAAAAATTAGACCAAGATAATACAACATATATGAAAAACGATGATGAACTACATAGCTAGTAAACGAAATTGTTTTTACTTTACTCTTTTCTCTCTTTTCATAACCTTTCTTTTCTCATACTGAATGACCAAGATGGAATACTAGACAAAGTGTTGCCTAGCAATAATCTTAGGAAAATCATAATCTTACTTGCTTTTTATTTTTAAATAAACGATAACAAATAACAATCGTTGTTCACCATTTACTTCTTAATGAATATAGCACTCAAAGAGTATAACAAATATGACCATCTTTAAACTTGTAAAGTTTCTGTTAATTTTAAATATTTAAATGTGGAACTTTTTCAAAATATTCCAACTGAATCAAATCCATTATCAGCAATAGGACTTTAATTATGTACAAACTTTCAGTTTTAAACATTACGATTTTGATAGGTCATTGAAACTATTTTACTAATAACCGAGAATCCCCTCACACTAATCTTATTGATGAATTATAGTAATTCTTTTTACGAGTAACTACTATTTGTTCAGAATTCTTTAAAATAACGATATGAAAATATTTATAATCCTATAATAATTTGGATAGTAAGTAATAAATAAGTATTTACAACCAGGATAGTAAGTAATAAAAGGTTTACAAGTGTTTGTTTACAAAACAAACAGCTTCAACGTTTACAATCACCGTGACCATATGCAGGTCTTTGTGATATTTGTTCATTTATCAGTTGGATGTTCTCATACCTTTATTTCTAACATCATTTCATATTACGTGACTAAACTTTATTCGTACGCGTATATGATAAACAAGCCTCACGCCATGTTAACAAATTGACTGTTACTGTATAAACACTTATCAGGTCTATTTTACCTCTATAATACTAAGTTAGAATCTATTCTTACTTGAAAAGCTTAACACTTTCTATGTACGCGATGGAATTGATTACTTTTGTTCTCATGACACTTAAGAAATTATGCAAATCCATATACGGATAAACGCGTACACTGATAAACTGATGTTTAAATCAAACAACAAGCATAGAAGACAGTGAGACAGTTAATATCTGCCAGTCAATTAAGGTTTCAGTCATAAACCGTGACATATACCTAGCTTTTGATACTTTTAATGACCAATAATGACTGAACTACGTTTTTCCTCATAAATATATTCCTATAATATAATTTTGATTGTTCTGTGTATTTACTAGTTTATTCTCATTAAAATTATACGGCCAACTGTAAATTAATTTGAAATTGTTCAGAACAAAACCACAAACAAAGGAAACTGAGTTATTCATATAGCTACTTTTAGTTATTTCCAAAGCAGCACCAGGTTTGAAACTCATTGACGAAGATGTAACACGTTCCTTACAACAACCAAACATTTAAATTCAGTTCAAAATCTTATAGTCAGATTGCATGCCTTTACTATAAATGTGTATCATCATCAAATTCCAGTTCTCACAACAGATTGGATTAAGAAAACTCTCCTTTTACAGCAGTGCGCAGTTTTTCGTATGCATACATATAAACAAGCTCTAAGATGTAAAGCACTACACACATATTCTCTACACATGGGATGTGACGAGAATCTTAAACTATGATGTTTGTCTTTTATTGTTTCCATAAGCTCCGATTTTAATGAATCTATATATCTGAATCAAGTACTTTGTATCCTAGTTAGAAAGAAATTGCATTTGGATCGAACTAAAAATGTTTGCATATTAATCTTACGAACAAGGTTATGATGGGCGGTGTCTTCGCGCTAATCGCCAGAACTGACCACTTGAGCGAGAAGACAAGAGCGTAAGAAAAAGCCTACTGGGCTACTGAATAAAATGCATAAACACTCATTTATTTAGATACATTACTACCCCTTAGAAAATCAATTAGTTTCCTAGCCAATCATATTAATTTGCCCTTCAAGTAATTTCAGAGTGTTATTGAGGACCTAATTTGGTTACTTCTATTTTGTTCAATACATCAGATAACTACTACCGTAAATGGAGATCGAATTATTGAATTTATCTACGCGATAATTCGAATATGTGTACCGTTTACGGTGGGATTACATAAATTATCTCTAGTGGCATTTTCAGCATTCACAGAATGATGAATAAGTTCAAAGTAACCGATGAGACATACTGTCGACTCACTCTACCCCTTGGAGTATTTACTTAGTATGTTCTACAACAAGTATTAAATATGTAAAAGCTAATCAGAAACAATAATTTCTACATTATTTTTGACGAGGATGACATAATCCTTATTATCCATAGATATCTATATCCATGTTCTATGTACGTTTGTGCATACATTACGCCTTCAATGTTAAGTCATAAAAACTGGAATACTATAGACACCTTAAGCGCGATTCAAGTAAATATCTTAAAGAATATTAACTCATTTATACTCAGCTACATTTTATAAAAACTCGATGAGCAAAAGATCGAAATCCACTGAAGAAACAAGATTATTGACATTAACCGGTAATAACATCGATTAAACCGGTACACGGGAATAGTAATTATAATAAAGCTAGAAGTAAACTTAATACATGATTCCTTAGGAAATGACAAGTGGAAGCTTGAAATGCAAGAAAAAGAAAAAGAGAAAAATAAAGAGAAAATTAACAGCAAGGCAAAATTACTGTTGTTAATAATAACTTGTGACAACGATTTTTAAATCGATTCATAACAATTATTATAATGACTAGTAGTTAATCATCGAAAATAAATAAAAGCACCTGTAAACTTCAAAAGATGGACGTACATAAAGCAGCTCCATAAAACACAAAGCAAAAACAAAAAAATCAAATGCAATACAAACAATAATGTTAGACTGACCAAAAACAATAACTTGTGTGAGAAGCAAACGAATTCTGAACTTCATGTAAATGCAAAAATTGACGAATGGATAAAACTGGATCGAGCAATGTAATCAGCATATTGGTCAATACCGGTGCATATTTAGAAATGCAAACCGAAATTGGGTTAAAAAAGCAAATGAGATGGATGAGATCACATTCCCTGAACATTGTAGAAGTCCATTAAAAAGTCATACTGCATTATCAGTTCGTAAGACAAATCTACCTGCTTCCAAGGGTTCTAATATTTCTTCGATAAGATAGATAAGCGGCAGGCGTCTAACAGTACAAAGTAACGACAGCTCATTTCCACGACGAAGCTGAAATATGGCACCATCCGCTAAACTACGAGACAGAGCCCGATCAGCCACAATACTCCATACCTGCTGTCCGCCTGGATGCACTAATTTAGGAAGTAGAGGATATGGATCTAGATTGTCTGAAGTGTTAACTTGCTTGATATTCTGTTGATACTTGGCTCTCTTCACTGTTGCAATCGCTGCTGCAGCTGCGGCTGCGTCTTGTTGTGGTGTAGCAGCCGAAGGATTAAATCTTTCCAAGAAAGCGTGAGGTGACAGGCCATAAGCTAAGCAAAGAGCAAGATGATCAATTACCATATCCACAGGGTGACGAGCTTGTTGACGTGTAACACGCATATACTTTTGTAACGGCCTGATGAGAGTTGGGAAAACAGCTTGTGCTGCTTCGTACGGATCCAAAGATTTTCCTGGAGAGCAAGTAAGCTTTGACATCCTCCCATTACCTATAATCAAATTATAAACGCAATGTAGTGCTAAGAAATAATAACATAAAAATAATTGTAACAAACGATGTTATACAAACTAATTTGCGCGATTTGTAAAGGCTGATAAATGCAACACATGAACTGTAACAAATGAAATGCTTTCGGGCAAATGAAAGGTCTAGGTATAAAGATTGATTACCATGTTAACAATACTTCAGAGACAAAGAGTGTATACACCGACGCCACTGTGATCGATTCTGGGACAGGTTGCCCAGAGTCTGTATTTAACAACATGGCTCAGACCAGTAGTTAGTGACCTAATGGACTGATGCCACGTTTTGGTTTAGCCACCCCTAACTTACTTCCAACCATCCCCAACACTAGTCAGCATTGCGCGCCGTGGTAATCGGTGTTCAGGCATACGTAACACGTAGCCCAACCATCTCAGTTGACGAAGATTTACAGCCTCATCAACTGATTTACCATCATTCTCTAATACCCTACACGTCTAACCTCACTAATACTTACTCGGTGATCCCAGCAGATGCCAGCAATATTTCTAAGGCACCTGTGGTCAAATACTAGTAGCTTACCAGCACCTTCTACTCTTAATGGCCACGTTTCGCAGCCGTAAAGTAGAACAGAACGAACTGCTGAGCAGTATACTCGTCCCTTAATTGATAGACAGATATCTCGCCTTCGCCATAGATGAGGTGAGTTGGCAAAAGCCAAACGAGCTTCTTGAATCCGTGCACAGATTTCGTCAGACACCAACCAATTTGGGCTGATCAGACTTCCAAGATAAGTGAAGTTGTCGACGCGTTCGACTACTTCACTCCCTATCCTTAATTCGGGTGTTGACGTAGATTATTCCTGAAGCAACAACTTGCATTTAGAAGGGGAGAAGCCCACCCCAAACATTCTGGCATTGTTGCTCAGTTCTATCAAAAGACTGCATTTTATCAGCGTCTTCACCAAACATGACTGTCATCTGTGTATTCTAAGTCGATAAGTGGGTCCCCTGGAAGGAGACTAATGCCCGAGAATTTAGTCTATGAGAGCGTTATTTCCATCAGTAGATGTATGATGAAGTTAAACAAAAATATAGAAAGTGGACAGCCTTGATGGACACCACTTAAATTTGCAAAAGCAGATGACAGTTCGCCATAAGCTCTGACTCGACTTGAAGTGTTCGAGTAAAGAGCCTTCACAAGGTTTATGTACTTCCGAGGTACGCCTTTCAATGACAGACACCGCCACAGAATCTCGTGGTCTACCGAGTCAAATGCTGCTTTTTTGTCAAGAAAGACCACCATTGTCGGACACCGATAAGTATGCCTATGTTCTAGGTGTGTGACTTATCACCATTAGATAAAATTCATAGATTCTGAAGACAGTGTTCGTATTAATCTTACCAGAATAACTGATCAAATTATGTAAAACAGAATGAAATAAATCAGTTTACTGAACTTTTAGCTAAAGAAACATGTTTGTCAAAAGACGACATGAACAACCATAAATATTTCCCGCTATAATAAAAAAGGTATGCAAAGTGACCATTAAGATAAAGTAACTCTTTATACCAGGTAGAGCGACACAATGTTGAACTTAGCACAAATGACTATCTATCAAACCTGTTATAACTAGTAACACCAGAAGACAGACAATAGAAATGGATGTTGGAAAAAATATGGGTGGAGTGGGTGAAATAAGCGAATAGAATACCGTATTTACTCCGAAATTCGCGAGAATTTTGGTTACTTTATACTTCAATATACGATTCAGACCAACAGTGATTTCACGTACTAACGTTACAACCTCGTTCAGGTTTTTTAAACTGACCTTAATTCAATCGGCATCAAACATTAAGTTAGGGAATAAGTTAGACAATTCCTGAAACTCATAAAACAGAAATTAACTTCGCTCAGCTGTGCAATGATGTTTCCGCAACGATAATATATAAGAAAACTCAGTCGTAAAAAGCTTAGGACTTAACACAAATATGAGAAGGTGGTATTTTCCTCTACTCAGCATCAGCAGAACAAGAGAAAAATAAAGGAATCAAAATAATAGCAGTTATTTTAGAGGACCTATGCACTTTTTCAGGTACACTAAATCAAGTGATACAATAACCAAAATACTGCCTACAATTCAAAGGTATCTAGATATATTTCGTTTTTAATAGCCTCCCAAACACATAGAAGTAGCACAAATGATGGGAAGAAATGCAGAAAACTTACTTCGATTGTTTTTGAAAGGTACCAAGGTTTGATCACACTCAACAACACCAACAGTTCCCTCATTATTGCGGTTTTCAGCAGCAAGGCGCTTAACATGAGTAAAAGCCTCCTCAACTGCCAAAAGTAGTCTCATGCGCCGTTTACGTATCCTTTTTTCCAACTCAATTTCCTCATACAAACGAACTGAAGCACTAGGGGCAGTAATAGCACCAGACTGCTCAACAGTATACGTAACACCATTTTCTGATTTACCTAGACCAGCCCCACCACTATCTACATCGTAAAATTTATACTTGGACCCACCGCCATTCCCACTACCAGAAGCAGAACCACCGCGACGATTACGTTTACCTCCACCCCCGCTGTTGAAAGATGAGTTTTGATTTGGGTTGTAAGCCTGTAAATACACATTTTTAATAAAATGAGGTTTCATTGCGCTTAAAGTAATAACGTGATATGTAGAAGATACATCTAAAGCTGTAAGCATATTTGGTGCGATATATGCACTAATGATGGATTTTTAGGTGAGACTGTAATTTATGGACAACCTTTTAGCGACGCTAAAGTGACCCTGAGAGTTTTCACGTGATAACTAGGACCAAATGAGGGTTATAAACCGACGTGAGGAATTAGAACTATGATTTACAGTTGATGGTTAGGATTAGGAATTAGATTTAGTTTTCACCACGAGCTGACAGCTATAATAACAAAACTCTATTTAGCCAAATGGATGGGTGAATTTCGCGCCAAAACCCGAGACCTGTTATCTCATACCTGATTGGTTTGTCCTGCTGTAACCTTTTACTTTCTTCATAAAAAGTGGTTGTTTCTTCCTTAACTTAAAGAATTCTTCTGGTTGTACCTTTCCGTTTCCCCCATTATTATTATTATTAATAGTACACTACCATACACTAATCTATGATCGTTATTGTTCTTTTTTTCTTTTTCACTTCCCATCCTCATTGTTTTGTATGGCGCATATATATCTGGTGCCCCCTTGTACCAATATTCATGTGTTCAAATAAATAAATAAATAAATTATAGTCTCGTCAAATATATTTCTGATTTAGTCGAAATACTAAATAATCAGTACGGACAACAGTCTATGTTTTATTACTACATATGTAAAGTGAACAGCAAATATTTTCTTCCCAACAAAATTATCTCAGCTGTCAGTCCTGATGACCTAGTGTCTGGCGCAAACTCAGCATGAATTCAGAAAACTCGATTGGCTTTTGCCAACTTACGTCACTTGTGGCGTTGGACAGATATCCAAGTTTACTGCTCACTAGTTCATTCCGTTCTATTTTTTGGGTGTGAAACATGGCCTTTAAGGATAAGGGGTATTTATAGGTTAATAGTATTCGAAGCATTGTTCGTATATTTTGGAACCACCGAATACGTAATGATTGGGTTAGGGATAGAGTATTCGGTAAAGATGGAAAATCGATGTATGAGGTAGTAAATCCTCATTAATTGAGGTAGTTGGGACATGTAGAATGTATGCCCAACCATTGCCTACCTTGACGGGCGATGTTATCTAGCGTAGGAATAGGGTAGAAGAAAGCTAGAGGCGGGTATACCAAAACATAGCATCAGTCCATGAGATCACTGACAGTTGAACTTAGCCATTGTAATATGTGCAGACTACCTAGTTGGGGTTCGTGTGATTATCGTAACTAATGGTTAGAGAATTTGAATGACATTGCTTAAAATCGTTTTCAGTGAAGGTCCATAAACTCCTTGTTAGTCGAATAAGTTTACTCCTCTGGTTTAGTCTTTCCTTCACATGTTGAGTATATTTTACCGACCTCGACCCACTAACTATTAATGAGTATGGCCTTGGAAACCAGTGAATATGTTTTATCTTAAACACTAAAGAAATCACACTGTTACTTATTTTTCAGAATTTATAAAATTTATGACCGATGGTAGTTGAAGATAGTTAACTACGAACCATCGATTATCGACACCATTTATATTTTTCGTAAATTTTTGTTTTTTGTAACTTCTTCAGAATGTCAGGAGTAACTTATAGGCATCATTAAAATCATATGAAACAAGAAATACTGATAAAGACCTGGAAACGATAAAATGAAAACATACTGTGAATTCTACCATGTAGAACTGCAAAACTTCTATGGCCGCCCGCTGCAACGACATCTCTCCACACTTCAAAGTTCTCGACATTCCATCTGGAGAACGTACAATGTGTATGACGTACTGAAATCGGATTCTACGTAGTTCCATAAGGGCGATAACGGCATAATGTAAAAAGAGTAAAGTATCCGTCAAACTGCCGGCAAAAACTACTATGGAAAGATAATCAGATTCCTTTGGCTGTATAACACGAACAGTATAAAACAACCAAAATGCAAACAGAACAACTAACACAAGACAAAGAAAAAGAGTTCGACAAAGACGGATACGTGGAAGTATGGCAGTAGCACTGCCACAAAATGGTCGACAAGGGGAACTTAAAAACCACAGCGCGATAGCGAGAAGTACAAGTTTTACACATATACTGATGAGATGTCCTTCACAAGTTGGTTCACACCCTTCGGTCGACCATCCAATCCAAAACGGAAAAAGTGGGAGTAAAAGCATTAGAACTGGAGACAGTAATGAACCAATTGCCAGAAATGCAGAAATGGCAAAACTTAATGTATGTGAGCATTTGAACATTTTTATTTCATCCGCTTCGGATCGTATTAAAGCAGCTGCAGCACCGCTAATATTACAGCCGGTACCACCATTGGCATGTATACCTAGTGAGGTTGCTAGACCGTAACGTGCTCCAAATCGTGAGAAATTGTCGCCACTGAGTCCAGTCTCACTTGTAGCGCCAGTGACAGCAGTAGCCTCTTCAACCCAAGCATTTTCATCTTGGTTCGTAAGTTGTGGGTCAAAACGCTCAGACCGGTATGGTTCTGGAACTTGTGATGATGGTTGAGAAGGTATCTGGGAAGGCGAAACATGGGATGCAGCAGTATGTGCTAAAGGATGCTGTTGTCCAGGAGGTATGAAAGAACCGACCTGCTGTTGTGACTGAAGTTGATTTGATTGTACTCCTGCACAAATTGGGGGTCGGGTGAATGGAGAAGGCATAGACGGATGAATTATTTGTTGGGCATATACCTGCTGTACAGATTGATCGGTCCAACTCTGAGCGTTAGGGATGTACATGCTTGGCTGAGAACAAGAGGAGAAATTGGGGTTCATTGGCATTAAAGGGGGAATCCATGTTTCTAATGTATAAGGATGAGAATTAGGCTGTTGCATTCCTATTGGTTGCTGCGGAAACATGCTCATATGAGGCTGTGGGACAATTGGCATTAAATTGCATTGAGATTGACGGACAGCTGTATCCACATTTTGCATGCTCTGGCCAATAGCTAGTGGTTGGTTATGAGAAGCTAACACACTTTTTACTTGTCCTTGGAACATACACGCGGGTTGACTGGAGGTGACATTACTCGTCCGCTGAATGCGTTTTGACCGACGAGAACGGTCACTTTTTTCACTTCGTCCACTGCGCACACTTTCTCCATCCATATATCACCATTTAGATGGATCTAAGAAACAATAATGAATAATCGATAAATTTATTTTGGTATAAAGAATTTAGAAAAGCATTTTATTATAATAATTGGTTTTAAAATGGGAAAGCTTGGTAAAACGTCAGAAATCAACCGCAACTTTCACCTAAAGAAAATATTATCTTGTCTTCCCAAAATGAATATGTAACGTGGTCTTGAACATGGAGAGATAAAACAGGACATACTACTGGCATCAACAGGTTAAGACAAAAACAGTGAAGCAAGTGAAAATTTAAATGTTAAATAAGACCGACTTCCAGGTTTGAACCAGGAAGTTTTGACATACTCAAACGATTCACATAGTGGCTTAATAGACAGATACCAAAGTTTAATCTTCCAAAATACATAGTAAATTGACACATTCCTACTATTCTATTTAGAAATATCTCATCCACCAGGTCAACAACCCGACCTAGTAATCAACACCAAACATCAATACTTAGTAAGCCGGGGATTCTCCAGCACCTACGATTACAGACCTGTAACACACTCATATCTTCTATCAGAAATATCTTAGAGAAAAGAAACAACGAGATGCTCGGCACTACCCACCACTTTAGAAGAAATCAGACAACTTGTTTGAACCCCCCGAATGCCTTGAAACGGCCAAGAGTAGGGAGAGTCAGCTCCCCCTCTCGAAATGCTCTCACATGGCCACGCGTATACAATCACTGTCAAGGAAGTCCTACTCACTGCCTTTACACGGCATGGTGTATGAACCATTTGTTGGCCATCGACTACCATGTGACCGCGTCTTGTAATGTTGCTCCACCGCCTTGTGGATTAGACCTTCAGGTCAAAGGTTCGAGGTGTTGCCCCTTAAAAAATCACCTGCTTTGGTTTGAGCGCCCGGGCAGTATCACATAAACCAAATGATTGATGAGGCACATATATACTTGGCGCCACCTTGTACAAATGTTTGTGTTTAAATAAATAAAGCTAAAAAGAAGCAAACGAGGCTTATGTATGATGATCAAAATCGTGCTAGTCATTAACCCAACAGAACTGGGACATCAGAATGGAGTAATCAACATAACCAATTATTTTACTCCTGAAAGTTGAACTAGGTAGTGGCTAACACTTTATATCATGTGAGAAACCTATTTCAAACACTTCTAGATTGTCACTTTTAGTCATTCAGTCATTATCAACGTAGAGACCGGAATAGATATATGAGTCAGCCTAAGCTACCATACCACAGCACGAGATGAAAATAACAAGACAGAAAGAAAAAGAGACCGAAATAATGCAGCAGTAATGATAATGAGAAAGACTAACCATTGAGTTTATGGTTCATGAAGACAGTGGAAGTGTATGAAATACTGATACTCGACATCCAGATGAATCTACCTGTGCTTTTGTGAACTATTATGAACAATATCGACCGATCGTGTTTTTTGCGGACCCCCAACCAGTCACTCAGTCAACGGCTGCTGTCATGTTTTGGTTCGGTCACTCCTAGCTTTTTTTCTAATTTACTCCTATACCAGCAAACATCGACTGTTGAGATAGGCAGTGACCGGGTATAGGTAACACATCCTAACTACCTCAGTCGATGATTTTCAACTTTATCAATCGATGTGCGCCTTTACTCAGTACCCTATTCCTAACTTCACATTATGTTCAAAAGACCAGTTCGCCAACGTCCTTTCCGTAAGAGTAAGGTAACTTTAACCCCCTCATTTCCTGACGTGCCCCTCACAGGGAATAGTGATGGGCGTTTTTGTTTTCTTAGTGTAACTGCCTTAACAAACAGTAAGTCCCATGAAAGATAGAAGAGAAAGGGTGCCTGTAAACTTTGGGCTGCACCAGTGAGCAAGGAATTCCAAATGGGACTTATGAACTATAATGAATAGTATCCAAAATATGAAAGGAAAATATCCTACATAATATGTAATTCATCCATATCTTTTAATTTACTTTTGTGTTACAGTTCTGCAAAATGGACAAAAACATAGCTTGGTAGAACAAAAACTACGAAGGATAACTTCAACTAAATTTAAAGATCTGATCCAGTTTAAATTGGGACCAATACATGAACACTGAATTATATGAAGCAGTTTCTGGGTTATGTGAGTAGAATTTACAACTGGTTCTCATATCGTATAGTGTTGCCATGATGCATTCCAGTGGTTTTCGGAATGTCTTAAAGGTATTCGTGTAATCTACTAGGTCTGAGTCAAGTGGTACAATCTCTGTACAAATACAACTCTAAAAACTTACTGCACGACATACGTGGTTGTGATCAGTCAGTTAGTCAGTCAGTAACAACGTAGAACTTCGTACTTACGTGCATCAGTTCGAGTTGCCACACCACATTAGCACAGAGATGCACTTGTCGATTCAAATCCCGTAGTGGTAGAGGTAACAAGAGTATAAGCAGTAATCGGGAAGAATAGGGTTTGGAGATGTTATTTAAAGAGTATAATCCAGTGAAAGAAATTTGGAAAGAGGAAAAAAAGGGACATGAAGAATTCAGAAGATTAGAATTTGGGAGAACACAGAGAGTGGATGCACCTGCGCCATTGCAAACGATTTTGAGCCATGTCATTCAGGGTCTCTAACCATCGGTTGCTATCATCTCGCGGTCCCTAACCAGGTAGTCTACACCTACCAACATGACTCAGTTCACTTGTCAGTGACTTAATGGATTTGTGCCATGTTTTGGTCTGGCCGCCCTTAGCTTTCATCCAACCTACTCCTATACCACTGAACATAGCACGTCGAGGCAGTCGGTCGTTGGGCATACGTAACACGTGTCCCAGCCATCTCAACTGATGAAGTTTCACTACTTCATCAATTGATTTGCCATCCTTACCTAATACCCGTTTCCTAACAATTGTTACCTACTCGATGGTCCCATGATATACGAGCAATGCTTCGAAGACACCTATGATCGAATACTAGTAACCTACGAATATCCTCTACTCTTACCGGCCATGTTTCACTGCCATAAAGTAGGACGGAACGAACTGCTGCGCAGTAAACACGTCCTTTGGTTGATAGACGGATATCTCGCCTATGCCATAAATGACGCAAGTTGGCTAAAGCTAGTTGAATTTTCTGTATCCGTGCTGAGATTTCGTCACACACCAAACCACAAGGGCTGATGAGACTTCCCAGAAAGTGAAGCGGTCGACACACTCAACTACTTCACTCCCTATCATTAGTTCAGTTGTCGATGTAACCCAATCCTGAAGCAACATTTTGCATTTCGAGGGAGAGAATCGCATGCCGAACATGCTTGTATTGTTTCTTATAGTGATTAGAAGACTGTATTTTGCCAGCGTCTTCACCAAATAGAACTATGTCATCAGCATATTCTAAGTCAACAAGTGAACCTCCTGGTAGAAGTTCAACCCCTGTATATTTAGATGAGGAGAGTGTTATCTCTAAAAGTACGTCGACCACAAAGTTGAACAAGAATGGGGAGAGTGGACAGCCCTGACGAACACCACTTGAGGTGATCAATTCTGATGACAGTTCGCCATAAGCTCTCACTCTACCAGTTGTGTTCGAGTAGAGAGCCTTTATAAGGTTAATGTACTTCTTTGGTACTCCTTTCAGTGACAAACACTGCCATAGAACCTCACGATCAATAGAGTCGAATGCCGCCTTAAAGTCGAGAAATACTACCACTATGGGGCGTCTGAATGTGTGTCTGTGTTCTAGAACCTGACACAGTGTGAATATCTGATCTATACAACCACGTCCAGGTCGAAAACCGGCCTGGTTTTCTCTAATCTGCTCTTCACGAGCTTTGATTAGGCGTCGAAGTATTATTGAAGCTAATATTTTAGACACTATATTTGTCAAACTGATTCCTCTGTGATTGTCACAAGAGGACTTTTGTCCTTTCTTATAGACTGGCACAATCAGTGATTGAGACCAGTCAGATGGGATTACGTCCAGTTCCCAAATTTTACCTAAGACCTCTGTTAATCTCATTGCTAATACTGGACCACCATCCTTAAAAATCTCAGGAGTAAACCTGTCACGTGGTTGTGATCGCTACTATATGGAAAAATGACTGAATTGGAAACAACGAAATCGCTATTTCCGGTATTCCTTAATGTTCTTTGAAAGTGTTGTTCAGTTTTTAAAGAATCATTTACTTAAGTACAAGTGCTCCACCTTTAGTACAGTAGATTACTGAGCATAACTGTGCGTAACTTTAGACATAATTCCAATCGTAGAAGAATTGTACATAAAGTTTCAACTCCGCTCCTATGCTGTGACACTCAATAAATTAAGGTAAAAACGAGCAAAAAATAGTAACTAATCTCATATGGTAAGAAACAGCAAGAAGTCATATATACTAGTCTTCGGTTTTTGACTCATAAGAAACAAATGCCAGACAATCATAACTAATGTAGAACTAGGTAGGAATATCTATTGGCCTAGGTTGCCATACCTTATAATGGCACAACAAGCAACAAATCACCAGAGCTGAGAATGTTAACTATGGTAGGAAGTTAGACGTGCAGTATATAATCCAAAAGGAATTACCGAAATCAATGGGAGAGACTATACCAGGGATTCAGAAGATGAAATCCATCTTATTTATTTATTTCGACACAAATATTTGTACAAACAGGCACTAGAATAAGTATCCATCACAAACAAGATTACGAAGTGATAGAGTAAGTTCAGCTAGTCAGCTACAACGTAGGACCATGCACATATTGTGATCGATTCTGAGACAGGTTGCCCAGAATCTCCAACCACTCGTTACGATAGTCGAACGGACCCCAACCAAGTAGTCTGTATTTAACAACATGGCTCAGACCAGTAGTTAGTGACCTAATGGACTGATGCCACGTTTTGGTTTAGCCACCCCTAACTTACTTCCAACCATCCCCAACACTAGTCAGCATTGAGTGTCATGGTAATCAGTGTTCAGGCATACGTATCACGTAGCTTAACCATCTCAGTCGATGAAGATTTACAACTTAATTAATTGGTTTACCATTATTCCCTAGTACCCTGCGTCTAACCTCACTAATACTTACTCGGTGATCTCAGCAGATGCCAGCAATATTTCTAAGGCACCTGTGGTCAAATACTAGTAGCTTACCAGCACCTTCTACTCTTAATGGCCACGTTTCGCAGCCGTAAAGTAGAACAGAACGAACTGCTGAGCAGTATACTCGTCCCTTAATTGATAGATAGATATCTCGCCTTCGCCATAGATGAGGTGAGTTGGCAATGACCACCGAAACGTAAAACAAACTTGGCACAAACCGAATCATGTTTAGAATCCGAATAGATATAACAAAAAGATCTGAAGTCGTGTGCACAACCGTGCTAAAAGTAGCTGATCGAGATATGATCAATTTAATCCTAGTCTTGAGTCGCAGGCGGACCCCGAGTAACATATTAGTGTTAACTGTGCCGAAAGTTGTTGCTGACCAGAAACAGTTTGCGGTCTGAGCGAAGTTACAGGAGACGGTCACCGTTATCCGACCTGTCCTATTGGCCACCTACGCGACTCTTATATGTGAATAGATGTCCGGCTAATAATACACCTTACATGGACTACAAAGGATATGTGATGAGTCACTTATTTCTAAACTTCCGCAGCCAAATATTACGGAACAGCCAGACAGACTAAAGTACAAGCACTAAACCGTACAGTATAATTGCCCTTACGTGGAAAACGAGGTGTACGAACAACAGAGCATTGGAGACCAGCTTTACCACCTTTAGAATGACCACTCATTCTTTCCAGAAGTAGAGAAACATTTACTTACGACAACCATGTGGAGTTTGGCAACGATTAACCTACAGAACTGGCAAAACTGTAAAGTTAACATGGCTGAAGACCTTAGTAAGTATAGTTAGGAAAGATAATGGTATAGACTGTTAGCGGGACATAGACTAGATTAAAGCATGCTCAATGCATGATTGCTTTGGTGCACGCTGATTGGCTGATTCTTATCCAATTAGCACTAGTCGACAGTCGGAGAACATTCTGGAATCTTCTTATGTAAAAACTATAAATATACCGACGTTTTCCCCTATTATGCTTCCTACTGGTTTCTGACTTGCTATTTGGAATATAATCTTTTTCCTGTTCAGCCGTGTTTTGATTTGGGGACTTGTCGAGTGAATCGGTGTCCGAGAATACTAAGCAATAGGAATAGCTAGGTCATTAACCGTAAGAAAGAGAGAGTTATAACATAGACATTCTGTAATTATCTAAACTCCAGTCGCTAAGATCATTCCAAATACAATTCTTACATGTAATGTCTTGTAAAGAGCTTTTGTTTAGGTTAACACTAAGGGGTCACTTGTTGTTTAGATAGTCAAAATGACATCAATACTGTAACTAGCTGGTTTTCGAGCAAATATGTAGCCGATTGTTCTAACTGGCTTATAGATTGTAAACATAGGTCATCCAGTGTGAACCTAAGCTATATTCAGTATGTGCAAGTTAACAAGAGTTGGTATCGTGAGCTTCCTTTTGCTGACGAACATTATGCACTAACAGACAGAATTACGTCAAATTTCCGATCGGTGAGATTAACAGTATTTGAAACCGGGAGGAATTGGTCTGAGACGTCAACTACTCCCTCACATTGCTAAGATTTATCATCCGATGAAATTTCCGAATGAAAACCCAACATGTCATTTATCTTCATGCTTACCGAAGGGGATTCTTCTACGAGTTTGAGGACCAGTTCCAACGAAAGGACACCACATGTAGATTATGAGAAAGACCACTTACAAACAATAATATTATGGTCCAGTCTCTTACAAACGCAGATAGAATTATCTACTTCAACATGAAGATAACCTATTCGTTGATTTTTAATATCTATATTTAAAAGACGACATCAACCATAAACACGAACCCATTAGTGCTTACCGCCTTGCAATCGAAAGTACTCTCCCGCGTAGTATGACCTTCGAGGAAATATCCTCAATATCCAATATCTGAATATTGCCAACCAATCCTAAACTTCAGGTTCAAGCATCAATTCAGATTTCAAATCATGGTTTTTTAGTGAGGATAGGAAGCCAAACGAATCTGATGAAAGTGTAAATACACATTCAGGTAGTATGGTCACTTCGCCGAGCGTTCAAATCTTTTGACGAGGAAACAATTTGAATTTTATGTCCCATATATGTAAGACCACATTTACAGTACTGTAT